GCAGTAATGTTGAGTGCGATTACATTAACGTTCCCACAACTGTATTCACACCATTAGAATACGGCGCCTGTGGTTATACTGAGGAACAGGCCGTCCAAACATTTGGCGAACAAAACATTGAAGTATATCATCAAAAATTTTGTCCGTTTGAGTGGCAAAATGGAAGAGTCCCTCAGTTTGCACACAGAAGTCGAAACATTTGTTTTGCAAAAATTATATGTTTGCGAACTGAAAACGTTTGTTGTTTTATCAATTATTTTATTTTAAATCCTAATCACAAATTCTTTATTTTTTAGGAAAGACTATTGGGTTTTCATTATTTGGGTCCAAATGCTGGTGAAGTGACACAATTGGTTGGTCTCTCCCTTAAAATGAAAGCTACAAAAGCAGATCTCGACGCTCTTATAGGCATTCATCCGACGTGTGCTGAGGTGTGTGTTAGCCGTTATATAGATTAAACCCAATACTCAGCGCTTAGAATTGAATGTTGTTCATTATTTTGAATTGTGACAGGTATTCACAACCCTTGATGTGACAAAACGGAGTGGTTTGGCGCCTGACCTCAAGTCTTGTTGTGGTTGAGCTCTACAACAGTGTTGGACTCAAACTGTTGTTTTTAACATTCATAATATTTGCTTATTTTTAAATTTTGGTGTTAGTTATAAATCTAGTTGAATACTGTGTTTAAAGGGGTGTCCTTTTAGCGAATTGTACGAAACGTGAATGTGGTTATTAGGGCACCCCTTCATCACACTTTCAAACAGCAGTCTATAGTAATTTGATTGACTAGTTTTGGTTGAAATGAAGATAAAGTTCGCAAATATCTGCATAAGAAACTGGACTAAATCTGATGAAACAACTGAATGGTCGTTATAAGTATACGCAGCTTACATATTATTAATGTTCGTCATTTTTTGAAAACTCCTAAAATTCCCATGTTGCCGAGACGGAATTTATAGGGAAACTTCGGAAAATAAAAAATGCATTAGGGAAATGATTAACAAGGGGAAAATATTTTAAATAATTTTGATTATTTAAAGCATTATTATGGATAAATTGTTTGAAAAGTATAAAAATTTGTAAAAATAATTTTATTTAAAACAGTACTCAATTAGTTTTATAATGTATTTGGTGAATAACAAAGATTTGCTTGTCACTCACATAGCATTACTTTATTATTTAAGCGCAATTATTAAATTTTGATTAAAAAATAATTTACAAAATGATTCAAATTAAATTAATTAAATAGATTTTACTTAATATTCTTCTCGATTATGTTTAAGCATGTTAGGGCACATGTAATAAATATGATAAAAGTATTTATATATCTCGATTGGTCATTGTTTGACCACATTTTTGTTTTATTTTCCCAATTTTAAGGAATATAAAGAATTTTCCGGCGCAAAACTATTTTCCTGAAAGATAATTTTCAAAATTGGGAAATGACGAACATTTGGTGTATATAGTTTTTGAATTATAGAAGATTTAGTTGGAAAAGTTGTGTATTTTGAGATTATATAAATCTGAAATATTGAAAAATTATTAATAAACCAAAAACTACATGCAGTACAAGAATTTTGATTACAGGTTCTTAAACAGTAGTAAAAATAACTTAAGAAATAGTTCAGGAATTTGCTCAAACATAAGTTTGAATTTAACATTATGTCTATGGAAAAAATGATAACATTTTGATTAATTTGAGATTATTATTTAAATAAGAGGTCAAGCATATTGTGGTATAGTATTGTTTTTGAGGGCGTCAACTACTCATAAAACTATATAGTAAACTTAAAGATCTGGCTTATGTTTTCGAGATATTCGGCTTTATAATGTTATAGTCCAATAAAAAACACCCTGTAGATAGTATTACCCCCTTTTGCTAGAATTCACATAATATTACCGGGTTTATTTATGAGAGTTAATACGGTAAATAAATATTAAATTACAATAATTTTTATTAATTTTGTGTTTAATTATTTAGTGAAATATCAAATGTATTTATCATGTGATTCATTATTAATGAATCATTAAATGTGTCTCGATATAAATTCAATCAACATTCATATATTAACGCATGAATTTAATTACTAAATCGCTATTTAATTAAATGTCTATATTTTTAATTTTAAAAATAAAATCAATTAAAAATTTATGTATAAAAAGAAAATAAATTAATTGATTTGGAATATCATACAACTATGAAATATATTGCTGTTTTGATGTATTTGCCTATGATTTCAATGCATTTATGCCTATCAACCCTCAATAATGGTCAATGGTTTGAGCACTCATTTGAATTGACATTTGACTCATCAGACAATAGACAGACAGGAAATGAAATCACAAAATACTGAAACATTTTTGAGTTGAAGTTAATATATTAACGCATGAATTTAATTACTAAATCGCTATTTAATTAAATGTCTATATTTTTAATTTTAAAAATAAAATCAATTAAAAATTTATGTATAAAAAGAAAATAAATTAATTGATTTGGAATATAATTATTAAAATGAAAATATATTTAATACAGCATTTATATTAACCATAGGTTTAGCGTTAAGATTAGTGAATAATTTTACGCTAAATTAATAAATAATTTGTTAAACAATTTCACAAAACTTTGTCATCAATTGATAAAACACATGAAGTCATCGATAAAGACATTAATGAATTTAATGATTGATTATTTATCAAAGATAACGATAGCCGAGATATTCAAGAAATGTGTTACTTGTATGCAATGTTTGTCACAAATATTTAAACCATAGCTCCGACTATAGCTCCACCCCTTCTCGTAAGCATTGTTTGTGTGAATGTTTAATGAGTTGTTGTTTTCAAAACACGTTTTGTTTTCATTTCATTTCCAAAAGTGTTTGTCATTTGTGTTGACATGTCTTCAGACGGGAAGCGATTGCAGACAACGAGTGTTGTGTCCGACGAAGACATGGATTCGCGAAGAAGTGATGTCTTGAACGACGATATCTTGGGATTGATTTGCAATGAATTAAATGTCAAACAATTGTTAAGATTAGAGTCGGTTTGCAATCAATTCATGGATTGTGTCGGAAGTGCTCTCAAGAGGAAGAATGCGTTGAGTATTGGATTTGATAATTATTATTGTAATGAAGATTACCATTCCTTCAGAGAGGGAAACATCACTCAAGCCATTGTCATCAGAGGTTATATTAAACACGAGTTGATTGAAAGCAAAGACACATTTAAACCAATACTCGAGAAGTGTTTTAATATAAAGTCATTGTATTTAAGCTATACTTCAATTGATGGACAGATATTAGCACTGATTGTGAGCCGATGTCTACAACTCAAGAGATTATATTTGTATGACATTCACATAATTGAGTCCAACGAAGAAGTGATGAACTCATGGAAAGCATTAGTGTCTCAATTGTCTCATTTTTCTATTGAATCCATGGAAATGATTGATTCACATCCTTCTAATGATAGCGTCGATGAAATGCTTGAATGTTTGCCACAAACTATTCGTTGTCTTGAACTAAAGGATACGATTAGAGACAACACATCAATGGATGTACTGATAAAGAGATGTCCGCATTTGGAAGTGCTTTCATTGGATGACGACTACGCTGTCGGGGATGACATTTTTCACAAGATTTGCACTAATTTTAGACTAAAATATTTGCATATTTTCTCGTATGAACTATCGATCGATGTCTTCGCTGAAAACATCCCAAAACTCAATGATTTGATACATTTGTCGGTGAAATCAGTCTTTGAATTGAATACAAATGTCATGCAATCGATGCCTAAACTAAAGTCATTGTGTTTACAAAGTGTGATCGTTTCGCCCCAAATGTTGTCTAATTTGAGACAAATCTATCCAAATGTTAAGGATTTACGTCTGAATGACATTAACATTGAATGCGATTGCAATGAAGACAATGAAGATATCGATGACATCGACGACACTTATTGTCTACAATGTGTTGATAAATGCATGCAATTTGTATTACAATTACCACAACTCAAGCGTTTGTGTATTGATTTTGATTGCGAAATCTGGTCCGTGTTATCCATTAATCTGAAACTATTTACTGAACTAAAAGTGTTGTCTTTGTTTGGCTACGAAAACATTGAGGAATTGAATGCTTTTGTATTGCATTGCATTGGAAATAGGGTTTCGAATAAGTGTTTGAAACTTAGTTTGGATTCAAATATTAAGACAACACTTATTAATGGTTTGAATGAAACGATTCGGAAGAATATTATCATTAAATCTAATCAATTTTTGAATTTTTAAAATTCAAATCAACAGAACATTGAAATTTTTAATAACTTAAAACGAATAAATTCTTGTTTTTCATTTAATTTTCAATCAATAACTTGAAAACAGTTTTTATTTTTCTATTAATTAGTGATTTAATTATTTGACGTAAAATAACTTATAGTATAGAAAATTACAATAATTTTCATTAATTTTGTGTTCATTTATTTAATTAACTGTTTTGTCATAAAAAATGATTTAATTAATCTCGAGATACAAAATTATATTCATATAGAAACGTATAAATTTAATTACTAAATCTGTATTTAATTAACGTCTAATTTTAATTAAAATGTATTAAATTAACTATAAATAAAGAATATTAATGAATAATACATTGATTACAGTATTTATATTAACCGTAGGTTTACCGTTAAATATCTGTAAGTGAAGCTTAAATCAATACTTAAATTTTTATAATACACCCATTTTTCTCAGTGACCACAAGAATTGACGGCTCGTTTGTAAAAGTAGGCGATTATAAGTCGTACCGGAAGTACGGCATAAATACCGAAAACTGTGGCCTCAGTTCTCTGCCCGAAGTGATTGACATCGTTTACAATAAGCCGTGTTTTGTCAATACATACCCGAAGCGACCGATTAAGCAAATGAATGGCCAGTTGTATCACCGACAACAGGATTTGAACATTCGGGTGGCCAAAGGTAAGCCCGCCCGACAGGGGGAGGTGCCCTGGGCTGTCCACCTCAACTTCATACGAATAAATTATTGGCCAAATTCCATGTTTCCGACAACGAGTAGGTATTATTACCGGTGCAGCGGTTCACTGGTCACCACCCGATGGGTCCTAACGGCCGCCCATTGTTTCGATAAGTATGTGCTAACTATTGTGTTATCCAATTGTTATCTAAAGTAATTGATCCAATGTTTTAATTACCCCAACCGATAGCCAGAGAGATAATCATAGTTTATATGCGGTAGAAGTGGGAACCGGTATCTATTGGAGGGAACCCCGGAGTCGTGGCTGGAAGAGCATGGTCATTTTCCATCACAATTATAATAAAACTGGTGTCACACCATTTGTATCGGATATAGCATTGGTTCGTCTCCAGATGCCGTTCAACGACACGGATATCATTGATAATCGGTTTGTTTCAAACCCAATATGTCTGCCAAATGACCGCCAATACAACGATGAGAAAGAGTGGGCACAACTGTATGGCTTCGGTCTCAAGAGTAACCATTTGTCTGATTTGTCGGATGTCTTACAAACCGGTCGTTTTAAGCTCAGGGAAAGCGAAAGTAGTAGTTGTGTGGATAAGGCTGTGCTTTGTTCGTATCAATCTG